CACGCTGTGCTGAATGAGCTTACGTGGCCAGCATGATCAGAGAGAAAGAGAGAGAGAGAGAGAGAGAGAGAGAGAGAGAGAGAGAGAGAGAGAGAGAGAGAGCGAACTGCCCTCCCTCTGCCGCGGCGATGTAATGATTTGATCCACTCTCGCGCGCATTATGCAGGCTGCCGAAGTCCGCCCAAACACCGACGTATGCGCATACGTACGTGCAACGTACGCTGGCGGCACCGATCGCGAGCACAGCCAACCACTGCGCGCTATATCCTTAGTAGCTGCAAGAAGTGTTATACGTGTGTGCGTGTGTGTATGTGTGTGCATGTGTTCCTCGAGAAAGACGTCTACGCGTCGTCGCTGTGAGGATGTAGCGAGAACAGTGGCCGCTAGGGCGGGACTAACAGACGGAGGCAGAGTCGCTCATTGAAACGTAGAGAGAGGTCGATCGGTGTGACACCCAGACAGGCGGAGAGCTAAGGGGGATTTCAGTGTCTCGATAGCGACCACATGCTCGTGCAGACGTTCGCCATCCGTTATAGATACTGTGTTCTTTCCCGTGATTATTCGTGCGCCGATACGTGGTGGCCATCGTCGTCGTCGTCGTCATCGCTGTCGTCATCGCTGTCGTCATCGCCATCGTTGTCACGGCCAGATATCTGATCGCGCGTGAGATCTCGCCGTTCTCATCTCTGCCGACTAAATGATACAGTTCATGTAAGCAGCTACAAGTGTAAGTGCGCGTGCATGTGTGCGTGTGCGTGCGTGCGTGCGTGTGTGTGTGCGCATGTGTGTGTGTGCGTGCATGTGTGTGCGCGTGCGTCCGTCCGTGTGTATGCTCATTGCACGCCGAGGAGCGATTTCACAATTACCCCCTACGCGTGGGAAGCTGCATGCGTTTGAGACACAGGCACTTGGAGCGTTTCAATAAAATATAATGCTAAATAAATACGAAATCTATTTACTACCAATGTCTTATAATTAATGTTTCTCTACTCTCTTTCATCTATTATTGCCGACAATTTCCTGTAAATGCCGTCCAAATGCTTATCTGCAACACACGCTGGCCGCCGCACGCTAGCTGCTGCACACTGCCACATAAATAAATAAATAAATAAATATATATATATATATATATATATATATATTACTATGTATGACTATATATGACTATATATTTATGTGTCAGTGTGCAGCAGCTATCGTGCGGCGGCCAGCGTGTGTTGCAGATAAGCATTTGGACGGCATTTACAGGAAATTGTCGGCAATAATATGTGAAAGAGAGTAGAGAAACATTAAGACTTTGGTAGTAAATAGATTTCGTATTTATTTAGCATTACATTTTATTGAAACGCTCCAAGTGCCTGTGGTGGTTTGAGAGTTCTCTGATATGCCATCAACTACATTGCTTAGCCAATCTCTTTTGTGTTCCGATTAATCTCATTTCTGGTTTGAATTATCGTTTAGTTTTCCCGGAAATGTTAGAGAGTGTTAATTCAACAGGCACCAATGGCGCGTGTATATTGTATGACGCATTGGAGTTAATGTAACGTGATTTCTGTTCACCTGTTTGTGAATTATTAAACAGGTGCTATCTGCACGTATGATGCCATGGCGCTCGTAAGCAGTAATTATGTTAAAGGATTCGGTAGAAGCTGGATGCTGTATCGCATACTACTACGTACTGAACTCCCAAAGATTGGAGCAAGGTTATCACCATCTAATCCTGTCTTGTATCGTCTGTTGTGTATGTGGTATGTTCGTGCGTGCGTGCGTGCGTGCGTGCGTGCGTGCGTGCGTGCGTGTGTGCGTGCATGCGTGCGTGCGTGCGTGGTGAGCATCCCTGTGTTTGTGTCTGCGTACATGTATGTTTATGTACATTCCTGCGTTTGGTTATATGCGTAGCTGTGTTCGTGTTCGCGTACACGCGTGCGTGTATGTGTGTATGCGCGTGTCTGCTCGTTTCTCTATTCGTCTGTGTGTGGTAACGCACGCGTGTGGTCTGT